GGGTCAATTTTGACCCCAGGGCTTTTATTTGAACAAACTTGGTAGACATTCACTAGAAGATGTTTCATGCCAAATATCTAAGCTCTAGCTCTTATGGTTCTTTAAAAGAAGATTTTTTAAGTTTTTACTATATGCATATAGGGAAAATCAATGATCCCCCGGGGTGGGGCCAATTTTGACCCCAGGGCTTTAATTTGAACAAACTTGGTAGACACTCACTAGAAGATGTTTCATGCTTAATATCTTAGCTCTAGCTCTTTGGGTTCTTTAAAAGAAGATTTTTTAAGTTTTTACTATATGCATATAGGGAAAATCAATGACCCCCTGGGGCGGGGCCAATTTTGACCCCAGGGCTTTTATTTGAACAAACTTTGTAGACATTCACTAGAAGATGTTTCATGCTTAATATCTAAGCTCTAGCTCTTACGGTTCTTTAAAAGGAGATTTTTTAAGTTTTTACTATATGCATATAGGGAAAATCAATGACCCCCCGGGGCGGGGCCAATTTTGACCCCAGGGCTTTTATTTGAACAAACTTGGTAGACACTCACTAGAAGATGTTTCATGCCAAATATCTAAGCTCTAGCTCTTAGGGTTGTTTAAAAGAAGATATTTAAAGATTTTTCTTTCGGTTGCCATGGCAACCAGAGTTCTGCATGGAATTAAATTCTTTGAACAATTTTTAAAGGTGACCACCAAAGGAACATTCCTGTGAAGTTTGGATGAAATTGGCTTAGTGGTTTATGAGGAGATGTCATTTAAAGCAAAAGTTTACGGACGGACGACGGACGGACGGATGACGGACGGACGACGGACGAAAAGCGATCACAAAAGCTCACCCTGTCACTTTGTGACAGGTGAGCTAAAAATACGGTAAACACAGAGAAAAAGCAAGGAACTTGAACCATGTGGGGCTATAACTGCTAGACTTAGGACCCTCAGATTTTTTTCTGACAAAACTGGCTTGTAATACTGAATAATGGACAAATGGGAGGGAAAAAATTTGCAAAATCTCCATCTACATAATTTATTAGTTTTTTTTTCTACATAATAATTATCATCAACCTATCTATAAGTGCTTTTTGTGTTGTCGAAGGATCCACATGGTATAACTTGTGGTAAACCTAGAAAAGTAAACCAACAAGTACTTTGAATTACTAAGTGTGACCTGGGCCTTGATCTAGGGAAGCCAAACATGTGTTCTGCTCTTGATAAACCTTTTCATTATAACCTTTAAGCACAAAAAGACTTGAAATTTCCATGCATGTGTTAATAGATGATCAGAGTTAGTTGATCTCATGTACTTTTGCACTATTTACATTTCATAACAACACTTTTTTTTAAAAGTTTGTTCTGCTCTGAACATTAACATGGGTGCAAGTTAAAAATACTAGTATCAGAAAACCTGAAAACCCTGAATTAAGTATCATTTTGATTGGTTTTATATAGAAAAAGAGTGTTTTTAGGAATATAAAAAAGCCTGAACTACAGGCATATGCCTGAAAACTTGTACCCATGCATTAATGCCCCATAGTTTTATTTTTCTTTCACTGCTTCAAAAATATATTAAGCATTTAGCAAACATAAACAAGAGGGCCATGATGGCCCAAAGTCGCTCACCTGTATATAGGCCCCCGGAGCGGGGCCAGTTTAAACCCCAGGGCTTTTATTTGAACAAACTTGGTTGACACCTATTAGAAGATGTTTCATGCTAAACATCTAAGGTCTAGCTTATTGGGTGTTTTAAAAGAAGATTTTTATATATATATATATATATATATATATATATATATATATATATATATATGTATATATATATATATATATATATATATATATATGTATATGTATATACATATGTAATTTATATATATATATTGTATATATACAATATACATACATACATATATATATATATATATATATATATATATATATATATGTATTGCATTTGCATTTTTTGGTGTGTGTGTATATTTGAAACTATGTATGTATCTATATTGTATATATATATCTTATATATATGTAAATATATATGTATGTATGTATATATATATATATATATATATATATATATATATAATATGTATGTATATATATATATATATATATATATATATATATATATATATATATATATATATGTATGTATATATATAATATGTATATATCTAAAAAAAAAAGTCGAGCTAATGAATGACCAGGGCTCTTATTTGAACGAACATGGTAGACATCCATTTGAACATGTTTCGTGCTAAATATCTTAGCTCTAGCTCTTTGCATTCTTTAAAAGAAAATTTTTTAAGTTTTTACTATATGCATATAGGGAAAATCAATGACCCCCTGGGGCGGGGCCAATTTTGACCCCAGGGCTTTTATTTGAACAAACTTGGTAGACACCCATTAGAAGATGTTTCATGCTAAATATCTTAGCTCTAGCTCTTTGGGTTCTTTAAAAGAAGATTTTTTAAGTTTTTACTATATACATATAGGGAAAAACAATGACCCCCAGGGCGGGGCCGATTTTAATTCTAGGAACAAAATTTGAACAAATTTGGTTTTGGACCTATAGATGATACCATAGACCAAATATCAAAGCTCTAAGCCATTTACTTTCAGACCAGAAGATTTTTTCAAGTTTTCACTATATGTATATAATGAAAATCAATGACCTCCGAGGGCGGGGCCAATTTTGACCCGAGGGCCATTATTTGAACAATCTTGGTAGAGGTCTACCACACAATGTTTCATGCCAAATATCTTACCTGTAGCCTTTGCCAATTCAGAGAAGAAGATTTTTTTATGTTTTACTATATACATATTAGAAAAACCTATGACCCCCGGGGCGGGGCAATTTTGACACTAGGGACAAAATTTGTACAACTTTGGTATTGGACCTTCAGATGATACCATAGACCAAATATCAAAGCTCTAGGCCATTTACTTTCAGACCAGAAGATTTTTCAAGTTTTCACTATATGTATGTAATGAAAATCAATGACCTCCCAGGGCGGGGCCAATTTTGACCCTAGGGCCATTATTTGAACAATCTTGATAGAGGTCTACTACACAATGTTTCATGCCAAATATCTAATCTGTAGCCTTTGCCAATTCAGAGAAGAAGATTTTTTTAGATTTTACTATATACATATAAGGAAAAACCTATGACCCCCGGGGCGGGGCCAATTTTGACACTAGGGACAAAATTTGAACAACTTTGGTAGAAGACCCATAGATGATACCATAGACCAAAAATCAAAGCTCTAGGCCATTTAGTTTCAGACCAGAAGATTTTTCAAGTTTTCACTATATGTATGAAATGAAAATCAATGACCCCCAGGGCGGGGCCAATTTTGACCCTAGGGCCATTATTTGAACAATCTTGATAGAGGTCTACTACACAATGTTTCATGCCAAATATCTAATCTGTAGCCTTTGCCAAATCAGAGAAGAAGATTTTTTTAGATTTACCTATAGACATATAAGGAAAAACCAATGACCCCCCCGGGCGGGGCCAATTTTGACACTAGGGACAAAATTTGAACAACTTTGGTAGAGGACCCATAGATGATACCATATACCAAAAATCAAAGCTCTGGCCCATGTACTTTCAGACAAGAAGATTTTTTAATTTTGTGTTTTTTGAAATCCTTTTCTGGCCCTGTGACCTACATATGCAACAGACCGGAACCATTTGAACAACTTTGAAAGGGGACCACCCAAGGATCATTTCTGTAAAGTTTGGTTGATGTGCAGTCATTGGTTTCAGAGGAGATGTTGTTTATGTGAAAAGTTGACGACGCACGACGCACGACGCAGGACGCACGACGACGGACACAGGGCGATCACAATAGCTCACCCTGAGCATTGCTCAGGTGAGCTAAAAAATACTAAATTGATGAACATAATGGTTAAATGTGACCTTGACCAGAGAAATCTTTAACACGACCTCTCTACATTGTCTCATTATTGTTAACATTTCTGACAAGTAGTTTCCATACCCTACTGTTCCATACTTTTGTTGGATAGGTGGACAACCTCGTGCTAAACATCTGAACAATAATTTTGAGCATATAAAAATGACAAATCCAATATTGAACTTGAATAGCTCATTGTCAAGATATGATAACAAAACAAGGACTTGTTTGTTGTATTTTTATACAACTGTCATTTTGATCAATACAAAAATGTTAAGTGTCCAATTACAGGAATGGTTCAAGATAATGTATATTTGTTTAAGCTTGAGCTTTGGAATGAGAAGTTCTATGAGATAATTCATCAACTAACTGTAATCACTTGCACTGACTCCAATTCAAAGACTAACCTATCATGGCTTAACCTTTTTTGATACAAATCGAAAGTTTTAAATATGAATTGACATGAGAAAAAATAGCAAACTACATTGTAAATTATCTTGCAAGCCAAATTTTAACCTGGAACTTACATGAAAACAAACTACTATAATGCAAGCAAAGTTAAAGTTACAGTAATGGGTTCTTTATTATACTGCATGTTTGTAACATTGCTTTTCATTGGATGATCCTGACTTTTATATAGTTTTATATACAAGGCTGCTGTCAATTTATAAAGAAATATCTCTTTTTTCTCTCCAAAAAAGATGCTTACTGTATTATATTATTTATATTTATAAATTCATTATAAATATTTCTAACAGGTTATATGGCATATGGCCCTATATAAACAGTTGTTTGCAATATAACCCTCACCTAGCGGCTCGGGTCATATTTCCAAACAACCATTTATATAGGGCCATATAACCTGTCAAAAATATTTATAACTAATAATATAGGATACTTTCAGCTATTGTTATGAGTCTTATATGGAATAGCCTTAGTTAATATACAACTATAATTCAGTAAAATCCTTGTTAGAATAATTGATCACAATTAAGATCCTAAGACATGTATCCATTTTCAAACGAAATGTGTTCTTAAGTTGATTGTAGATATTCATCTTGCAAACATACTTTTACCATTAATTCAAATAAAATTTAACCAAAGAGATAGTCTGACTCAAAGGCCAGTAGGATGGTCAAGCTACATTCAACAAAAATGAAATCACATTTTACTTTAGCCATACATTACTCATTGACATCTAAATAGAATTTCTAAAATTAGCAGAAAAACAAATTATCCCTGATCTAAAATTAAAATTTAACAAAATAATGACAGAGGAATATTTTCCAAATCTCCTCTCTTATTTTGGCATGATCGAATGGTAGGTTTTATTTTCACATCATTGTATGAAGCTCTGACAACAAAATCCTGACCATATATAGTGATATACACATTATTAGTACCAAAAATAAGAAAATTAAGAAAAACAAGGTATCCAAATCAAGTCAAATTATCTTTCGAATCTACGTTGAACATTTACATCCTCATTAGTAGGGCTGCTGTCTCTGGAATGCTCCGAGACAGGGCTTACATTACCATGTTCATGAATCAGATTCTCTTCCATCTCAAAATACCCTCCCACTGCTCCAACATTATGTTCCTTGTCCATTTCTGCCATTTTACGTTTCTCATTTAATTCTTCATGTAAACGCAGTTGTTCCTCCACAGTTCTAACCCCTCTGTCCTTCCACAAATGCTATTTCTGTGCCTTGTTAAATGCTCAGTTGGAAGTCTGTAAAGTGTATCAAAAGTCCTGTCCTTCTTCATTACTATTGCTTCGATTATTTCTTCTATTTTTCTTCTTTTTCTTGTCTCTTCTTACATTTTTGAATTGCCTCATTCTTTCTTTTTCTTGTCTGATAAAGTCAATGAAGTCAGTATCAGCACTAGCTCTTGGTGGTTCTGACCGTCTTTCATTGTTTACTATGTCTTTATCTTTTGGCACTGACTGCTTTGCATTTGTTATTTGGCTACCTACTTTAACCACTAGTTTATCAGCATTGGCATTTTCTAATTCTTTAGCCTCTTTTGACTTTTCAGTACCAGAGTCTTTATTCTCTTTTGGGGAGATCTGTTCTTTAAGATTTTCTTCATCTGGTATATCTACAACTATTCTGAGATTTTTTACCTGATTTTCTAGCTGTGATGCCTGGTTGAAATGAGATGATATGAAATCAATGTTACCTCTTCCAGCAGTATTAAGCAAAGGTTCATCAATTTGTACATATTCTCTATTCCTTGGGCTGCCATTGGCTAATGACCTGGCTGAGGACAAAGCAGTATTTCTATTATCAATGCTGTTGGAGATGCAATCTTCTATTAGCAGGCCAGTAGACAAAGAGTTTTGATTCTCTTTCTCTGTATCATTTTTACTTCCATCTTCAGGCTTATCCCTTTCAGCATCAGCCTCATTTACGTCATGATCAGAATGAATATTTTCATTTGACAATGATAATGTAATGTCACCACATTTTGGCAGACTGCCAGGATCTGTTATTGCTGGCTCTTGAAGGATATCAGCAGTAATGGAAGATATTTGTATTCTAGTGCCGCATGAATCAATAGATTTGGACATTTCACTTGTTATTACACGTCTTGCAGACTTAGGTGAAAGGTCATCTACCTGTAATATAATCTCTAGCATGTAAATAATTTTGTATAAAATGGTATTATTTACATACATTGTATTTCAATGAAATTCACACTATTGTCTTTGTTGTCTTTTTTTTTTAATAGAAAAATGCTTTCTGCATATAAATCTTATGTACCGGTAATAAATTACATTAGTAGTAAGTGGTGTGTAATGATTTGAGAAACAAATGTATCCTGTAATATTTAAGCAGGCTTTTCATTAATTTTGCCTCAGGATAATCATAATGATATCACTTTGGATAAGGTATTCTTGCATATCAGACTGGCATTTCAGTTAGTTTTACCCATGCCGGAAATTTCATCTGGCATGGGGGGTTCCAGATGAGTCGCGTGCTGTACAATGGCACGATAAATATGACGTCATTTTACCGTTATGAATGATTTTGTAATTCATAAGCTGTTGAATGAAAGTAGTTACTGTTGTAATGATATAAATTTTCATTGAAAATAAAGATAAAGAATTTAAAATATAATGGAATATGGTAGAATATGCAAGAAAAAATATCTGACATATGTTTGCGGTTCGGATCGGAATATCCGTCCCTCGGTCACCCTCCCATGGGCGGTAACTCGGCAAGCCTCGTTACCGCCCATTGGGCGGATCACCTCAGGACGGATATTCTGATCCGAACCGCAAAATATGACAGATATTATTAAACTGTTATCTACTCTATAATAAACAACCAGATAAAGGGCCGTCAGACTAATATTAGTGTTTGATAGTCAATAAGACCCTGCAAAATGCCAGAACTTTGTAAGCTCACATATATAAACAATCAAGCTATAAATGTACAGCTAAGAGAGAGGGGGAATAAACAATTGACTAACAATAGTGTCTTAGTTACAAACATGATGACAAGGGTAAAATTTAAACAGAAAACTTTTATAGTGACTCTGAAGATAAAGCCCTAACCTAAAACTTCACAACCAGAGTCCACAAAAGATTGCAATTCAATAAATAGATAAGTGCTGAAATCTTGGATAGTGGTCTACAATGATGGTCTATGTGCCAATTAAATGCCTTTAATGAAGAATGCGGTAACAAATTGCATTGGAAAACTTTTTTTAAAATGCAGTGCTGAAACACAATCAAGTAGGAGAGTTGTACTAATCATTTTATACCAATTTATAGTAAAACTAATGGCTTTACCTCATGTTCAATATGAAATGGTGTCAGTACTATAGGCTCATCCTCGATACAGCTGAACTGTTGCAGGTATGGATGGGCGAGAGCTTCCTCTGCTGACAGTCGCAATGAAGGTTCAAACACCAACAATTTCTCCAGTAAATCTAATGCTGTAAAGAAAGAAAAAAAAGATTAAATACCAAAGCATGCTGCTCTATCATTACACATAGTGGCATTTATGTTCAATAGTCTATTATTATGTATATTTGGGTTCAAAAGCATGCTATTAAATTATACATGGGTTGTTTAATGGCCTTTATTACAGATACATGTATTTGGTTCAAAATTATGCTATGTACATTTGTTTGTATATATGTCATAATGTGGATTAAAAACTACATGTTTTTTTCCACATTATTATGAGCAGTGGTAAAAGCCTCAAATGTCACTACTATTAGGACTCTTAGGTTCAACAAAAGACTGTTGTAACTCTTTTAAAGTGTTGTTATGAAACATTAATAGTGCAAAAGTACATGAGATTATCTCACTCAGATCATCTATTAACACATGCACAAAAAGTCTTTTTGCCCTTAAACGTTATACTGAAAAGGTTTACCAAGAGCATAATAAGCTACCTCTACCAAAACTTGAATTTTAATCACTTATTCTTCATAAATGTCATTGCTGGGAAATGATGTTGATACTTTTAGCAATGACTTTCAGAGCAGCTACGTGATTTTTGTGAGCAACGCATCGTCTTGTAATGATGATCTCTAGTGCCAATACTTTAATCAAAGTGCTGCAGCACTGAATGCGACGGACATGCAACCGGAGAGACATTAAGGCTTTTTTTAGAAAAAAAAACAACACAAAAGATATAACAGAGAAAATTTGTTCCATACAAGTTCGAGATTTGTAGAGCAATATATTTTATGTGTCCCATTTTGATATAATTCAGATTTTCTACTTTCAAGCAGAACAAGTCCAAATTTTTAAATACAGAATGAAATTTATGCCTAAAAACTCTGGTCAAACTTGTAAATCAGTGCCCTTATCGATTTATTCCAAGAAATGATATGTAAATAGATAAAAAAACTCAACGAAATATTTCTACAATAAAACCATGCAAATAAACTTCAATCATAATACATAATACATGTGAGAATGTTAGTTAAAATTGCTTCGTGTTATATCATAGTGGGCATGTAGACAATAAAATATAAGTCATTTTTATTTTTATTTCTCTTGGATATGTCTCATTAAAAATATTTATGGTTAAAATCATCGGCAATTAATGGTGTTTTTTTTTAGATTTTTTTTTCATTTACGTCACTTAAGCACTACAGTGTTTAGTTGTCCCTTTCAATTTCACACTAAATTCCATTTTCAACTTGTTTGCTTCTTACAATTGTATAGAATATCTTAAAGTATTGCATGTAAACAAAGTAAGAATATCCGCTTGTTTATTACATGTACAATGTGTACTCCTCCGAATGTCAGCACAGATGATGCAGAATCTATTTTTAGAATAGTGCGAAGGCTATTATAATCTCATATCAGGTTAACTCATATCGTGACCTAGAAAACTATGTAAACAAAACACAAGAATCGGAAGTAGAACTGATATTATAACTTCCTTCAATAAAGATTACCATGAAAGACTACATGGTGGTAAAGTGTTGAAAAACTCCCTTGTAACATGCATTTTCAAAAATAGATATTTATAAAAAGAATGTAGTCTAATTTATTAATAACTGCTGGATATTCCCCGCGGTATGAGTCACGAAAAGAGTTCTTCTTTTATTAATGCGCGAGTGATTCTAAAGTCACGAAAAAATTTGATCTGTTAATAAAAATATTTTGTTTAATGGGCAAATATTTATTTCCTGCTTATAATTTCTAGGAATTATTGAGCTTACTCCTTAATTATAGCAAAATTTGCTGTCCTACTTTTTCGACAGCGGTAAATCGTTTCAGCAGTCATTTGCATTTGCATAATTGCCCAATAATACTATAGGGCTACAGCGTTTTTATCAATCAAATACGTTTATATTTTAACTTGGATAACTTAATTTGAAATTGAAAAGGCTAAATATGCAAGTTTTTAAGATATCCCGACGAAGTATGGGAGTTTCATGGGATCAAATTCATGTACTATTTCGTGGGCTGTTATTCGGTTGAGGACACATTGCGCGATTGTAGCCAACGAAATCCCATGTGTAGATGACATAGCTCTGAACGCGCCTGAGGGCGCGTCCGTCGCAAAAATGCAATTATGGTATACATGTACTAGACATAACTGTCAAAACCAGATTACACACATACACACAAGAGACAGTGCTTATTCTAAACTTCTCATTTCTACATGCAAGACCCGTCTTCTACCATTATCAATGAATGATTTGGGTGTAAGTAGGCTAACCTATCAACCATATTATTTTCAGACAAGTAACACACTTTTTTCACCTACATGTATCTCTATTTTTACATATTGCAACTATATTTACAAATTGCATATAATGATATAAATAGAGGATACTGATGAGTGTAGGTTTAATACTAAATTTATTGAATGAGTAAAATAAAATCAAATTATGCTAGCCTCTGGTGAGTATACTATTTTTTTATTTCACAAGTTTAATAAATTTGGTATTGAATCTACATGAACATAATATTCTATTTATCACATGTTTGAAACAAGAATGGTTTACAGTTAAATGAGTCATTTTTCATTGACATGTCTATAGAGCAACGCTAACATTAGAGTGTTTTAACACTATGTTTGTATATAACACAAATGACATCAAATCAAAGTGTTATTACACTAGTATAATATCGTTTTTGTTAAATGGGTTTATGAGATAAGGATGTTTATTTCACACCTCATAAATATAACCAATGCACTTTCTGCATGAATACCATGTGATGTTCCAACAGAAATCATTACAGAATCCAATACTATCATGTTAGCCTCATTTTCACTTTCAGAGTACAAATACATGTAGTCCTTAACAAATCCATAATTATCACACACCATATAGCTCCTTTTTCATTTCAAGAGTCCTAAAGTTTCATATCAAATCCATATCACACCCAATATAGCCTCCTTTTTATTTCCAGAGTCCAAAATGTTTATATCAAATCCATATTGCACATCAATCTAGCCTTGATTTCATTTTCTGAGAGAGTCCAAAATCCATATCAAATTCTTCTTGTATTGAAGTAACAAAGTTCTGTCAAAAATAGTGGTGTGAAATGAAGAGGTCATTAAACATGGTTAAATCTTTCAATAAAATTGGTTCTATTGGACTTGTACACAGCTGCAAAATCTTTATCAGACTCCACTAGCGCCTAGTCCAATACAGTTTTGACAACTGTGTACTTGATTATTATAGAATTCAGTATTGTACGTGACAATGTACATTGTATAATAACCTTATAATGTTTAATGGTCTTACCATCTATATCTACACTAGTAAATTTGTCAGCTAATGGTTTCTCTGGTACGCGACTGTGTCTCCGGATAAAACTCTGTGGTAATATCTGGGTTACTATGTTCCATTCATTGTCACTCAAACATACAGTGTCAAGGATCAAACCTATCTGGTCCATCTCATGGGCACCTGTTCAACAGTAATATTAACAAGAGTTTTATAAAATATACATATGTAAATTCACAATCACTAGTTATTAAGGAGGATTTCTCAGAGAAAAAGGTATAACGACCTTGATGACCTCATTCCATCCTTTAAAAAGTGACTTACCTTTTTTTCTTATATAAATCTGACTGAGTCATGGCACTGTTTTTCACATACTAGTTATGTATATACATTAGATACATGTACCTAAACAATCAATTTTTAACTTAATCTTTTATAATGTCAGCTATAAAAAGGTTGCCGTACTTCATCTAACTATTGGTCACATAATGGTTCTTTTGGATCTTTGATTTCAACACTTTTAGTGGTAAGGATTTAATACCCTTCTTGCCAGTGTAAAGGGACATAAGAGATGTTGCACTTTTTATTATCTCATGAACAGACTTAATAAAACAGTCTGAGATTTTCTAATATTTGTTTTTGTTTCTATTGCACTGGAGGGATCTTTCATTTCCAGAATTTGAGTAAAGTAATATTTTCAGATAAGTACAGTAGCATGTATGTGTTCAAAACAATCCAAAGTGTTTAAAATAAACATATTTCAAGCAAATTACATTCATCTCATACTTTACTTTATACAATGTATATGTAACATCACATTTTCATTGGATAAGAGTGAAGTTTATAAAAGGGGGGGGGGGGTTCCGTGGCCGAGTGGTTAAGGTCACTGACTTCAAACCACTTGCCCATCACCACTCCATCAGGGACTCTGAATTTTTTTCATGTGAGGAAGCTAACAAGCTAGCTTACGGATCGTTTGTGGTTCAACTCAGGTGCCCGTTCCTGCCTGAAATAATGCACGGAAGGGCACCTGAGGTCTTCATCCACCAGTAAAGATGGAACGTCGCCATATGACCTATACTGTGTCGGTGTGACGTAAAACCCAATCAAACAAACAAACGTTTATTAGGTATTATATACATTGCTGCTGTTAATTTACAATTTTAATTATTTATGAAAAAATCCTCTTTTTTTTCTCTAAAAAATGGTTTGGCGTCTTATAAATTTGGTATAAAGATTCTTGACACGTTACATGGCCATTTATAAACAGCTGTTTACAATATAAACCTTGCTTTGGTTATATACATGTATTCAAACTACAATTTATGTACATGTACGGCCATATAACCTGTCAAAAATCTTTACAACTAATCATATACATGTTGAAAGTCAACATTAAGGCTTATAAGCTTAGCTTTTGACCCAATCCATTTTCATCAATTTATGCCTGAATAGCGTGATTTTTGGTATTTGTATAATCATACACTATAATGTGACACTTTTTGAAATAAACTATGTTAAAACTAAACAAACTAAATGGCAATTTTCCTAAGTCTCTAAGCAAAGTTTTACAGCTGAACCATATTATTACCTGGAAAGAGTGGTCTACCAGTCAACATTTCAGCTAGAATACATCCTACACTCCATATATCTATAGCTTTAGTGTAGTCTCTGGGAGAGATGATAAGTTCAGGTGATCTATACCAACATGTACCTACATTATCTGTCAAAAAACCCTGTAACATGTAAAAACATATTTACAACATGTATGGTATAAAAAAAAACAAAATAATAGTCTTGGAATTGTTGCGGTGAAAAGTAAACAAATTGTTAACAGACCTAGCGTTTTAAATAGGTATGACAGATCATTAAAAAAATTGGGAGACTTCAAAATCGCTTTGAAGTTTGTTTTAGGCGAAATCGCTCATCCGAAGGTGACTTCTTCACCCTAGCTCAAGCCCTGGTGTATATTGACTTTGATAACTTTGTGTGTTAATTGACAATATAGCAATAAATGACATGGCAAGACAGATGCCTTGTATCATAAACAATCACCCCTGAGCACTTTTGTGGTGCACAGTTAAGCGAAACTCAAAGTATTCCAAGCAATAAATATTTATAAGTGTTTTTTCTTTTTAAGTTTTGCCAAATTATTCAGTTAAATCATGAATTTGGAAGACAACAAAATATGAAAGGTATTTACAAATTGTAAATTACAATAAATGTTGTTAACAAAAATCTTAAATAAAGATAAATACATGTTATAATTGAGTACAGTTCTGTTTTTCAGCCCCTTTAAAGAAGGAAAAGGAAATTGAAAAAATTGCAAGCTTATCATTATATTCTTACCTTGTGAGAATAATCATCATCCAGAACCCTTGCAAGACCAAAATCTGCTATTTTAAGGACAAGGTCTTCAACATTGATCAGTAAATTCATTGGCTTAAGATCCCTGTGCAATACATTGGCAGAATGAATGTACTTCAACCCTCGCAACAGCTGGTATGTGAAGAGACGTACATGTTCTTGTGTAAGTTGTTCTTGCTGTACAAGCTGATAGAGATCTGTATGAAGCAATTCTTGAACAATGTACACACTGCTGGTTTCATTCATATTTATATGTCCACCTCTTTCGAGACTGAAACCATTTGATCCTAGGACTTCATAAACTGTCACAACATTTTCATGCTGAAGTCTTCGCATCAAGCGTAACTCCCTCAATGCGTATTTACATCCCCTACGATCGGAGAAACTCAGTTTCTTAATGGCTACTTCCTTGTCACAGTCACTGTCAGTGGCTGAATAAACAACAGCATTACCACCATGGCCTATTGGACGTAGGTTAATAAACCTAGGATCCACACTGAACCCTGATCGTGACATCCCTGAAGGTGCAGAATTGTTGTTATCCATTCTTTCAACACAAGCTGTCTAATTCACTATCCACTTCTTTAGTCACTCTACAAAACTCTGCAAAGATCATCTAAACAGGTAGGAACATGTATATTCTTGTCATTTTAGTTGATGCTGTTAATCTATTGGTATGTCCAAGCATTTTGTGGTCTGAAAAAACAGGGAAAAAAAATTTATTACATTTTATTGGTGCATGTTCTTAACAAAAACCTCCAATTTAAGACAAATATATACCCATATATTTATGTACAACTAAACTGACTTTTGAAAACAAGAGGTGTCAGTAGGACAGTAGCGACTATTCTCAGTGCTTGATAGTAAAAGCAAGAGCCTGGATTATGTAAAAAAATTTAAGCATAAAAAGGACATAATTCTGTCAAAATCCATGTTAGAGTTATGGGCCTTAGCCAGTGACCTCCGATATGTATACATGCAAATAAGCATGTGAAATTCTAACCCATTCCCTTCAGTAGTTTTGAAGATACCAATTTGCAGATACATGTAAAAATTAAATCAAAGTGTGACTTCAATGCTGGGGTGAGTACACTTACAGCTCTCGGGTCTCCCTATTCTTTGAATAGTCCAGCTAACAAGAGCACTGCATCCAGTGTAACAATCATCAGTAAAGGACAACCAGTTTTGACAAAAATTCTTGGTTAAAACTCCAAAAATATAACTTTCAGAATTTAGCCCCTTGTTTAAAAATAGTTCTGCAATATGCAATATGATGAGTAGAACTGGTTTTTACTATAGAGCAGCACTTTTTTCTTCACTTTCAAGGAAATGGTGGTCGGTCCAATAGAAAGGTAAAAGGAGGGGGGAAATGGGAAATTTATAAACAGATACATGTCAAATAGTGATATAATATCATTGTTTTTACGTCCACGTGTGTCTTGTAATTGTAATAAAATGGATTCTCTTTTTTTTTCAGAAATAAAGGAAAATATTTACTTTCTTGGGAGGGGAATGGGACCAAATTTCAGCACAAGATTGGCCCTAAAAGCACTGCAGAGATGTTTTTTATATAATTTATGAAGAACAACAAGAGATGAATCTACATACCAAATATCTAGTAGTCTCTACATATATGCTCTAGGTTTTGTAGTTTTTAAGGTTAAGACTTTTAAGATATATTTACTATAGTTAATGTCTAATTATTAACTTAAACTACCAGCCTTAGACCACTTCTGACCCCTGGCCATAATTACTCTATGCATTGTACAATGTGTATCTAAGCTCTGGGCATTTTAGTTTCACAGAAGAAGATTTAAGTTTTTTCATATATGTAAACATTACATGGCAAATATAAATTACAAATATATATGTGACTTTTGGTTTATACAGAATTTATTTTTAGTTTGATTGTGTAGGAAGCTATAAGCTTATAGACACACTTTCGAATCTGTTCCTGGAACCAACCAGTACTGAGCAATGAGTGTAAAGTTTCTTGCTCAAGGAAACAACGACTAGCCCCTGACGGGGTTTGAACCGATGTGGCTAGCGATAATTAGATTACTAGTCTGACATGTTAACCACTCGGCCATGCCGCCACATGTGTGATTTTTCTGAAGGACCCCTAGGTGATCTGACAAACCTAGGTGATCTGTCACAAACCAAATATCTAAGCTTTGATTCATAATCAACTATTATAATCATCAAATCAAAAAATTTATATATATCAGGGCCAAAAAACCCTTCTTTGTAGAGGCCGAATATAGGCTGCTTCCCCAACCAAACTAGCCTCTTTTTTCCCCCAGTTTGGTCCTCAAAATTCCCCAGTCTTTTGAAATTTCCCATAGAATTTAGAACAAAATTAAATGATGTTGTTGAATTAAGGTCTTTTACTGCCTTATTAGTATTTCCCAGTGCTTTTTGCTTTTCTATTTTGAAGAACTTGTTAAAATTTTTGTGTAAAATTTAAGACCCCTTTTCCCAAAATATGCCAAAATCATGCATATTTCCCCAAGAAAAAGGCTGAGGCCCCTTCCCCAAAAATGGTGTTTTGGCCCTGTATATATAACAACAATAAATAAATTTTTTGATTTGACGATTATAAGAGTTTCTGAGGAGAAGTTTTTACCTCCCAAAGAGTTTGCCGGAAACAGCTAACAAATTCTGGATAGCAAGAATGGATCATCCAAAATAAAAATCTGTCTTTAGGACAGAATTCTTGACTATTCTCAGTGCCTGATAGTTAAACAAGAGCCAGGGTAATGTAGAATTTTCTGAGTTCAAAAAGGGTCATTATTCTGTCAAAATCCATGTTGTAGAATTATGGACATTGGATAATAAGTGACCTCCTATTTTGCATTCAAATAGGTACTTAATAAGGTTTCAACACATTCCCTTCAGTAATTTTGGAGATACTAACTTACACTCATAAACTTAATCAAAGTGTGATGCTGACGCATGCGTAAGTACAATAAGCTCTCCCTTTTCTTCATATACTTGAGTTAACAACTAAAGAAAAAGGTGGGACTTTAGCATTATGTTGTGCATGCAACTATCTTCCAGTCTCAATTTGGTGTGAAAACATTAGACTTTACACAACACGGTGGCCAGTACTATACTTGTTTCTTGATATAAATGTTATAACGCAATTGAAACAATTTATTATTTACAGCAAGTTCAATGCCACTTTTTTCTGTTAAATTCAAAGAAAAATATTAACTTTGGATGAAACTGATCTACAATTGTAAAGTGTTTTAAACATCAAACAGTAAGCACTATATGACAGTTGTGACAATTTTAAGAGAATGCTATGACTGTTAAACAATTTATGTTATGATTATAGAAATAATTACTTGTCATTACTAGAACTTTAGAGTGGTACAAACTTTAGAATAATCATTAACTGACAGTGATTATAATATGCATTTATTGAAGATTCACTGTGATATATACTTTAAAAGATAGATATAATTGATTTGAAAATGAAATAAATCACTGTGTATGATTTAATCTTGTTATCGGTGTCGTGAAGATAAAATTGAAAAAAAAAAGATATTTTTCATTATGAATTTCATGAAAATTTCTTTCAGTATAGTCAATATTGTTTATCACACATTAAAACATTTATCACACATTAAAACAGAGTGCAGAAATGGAATCTACACTAAAAATTCTAGAAGATTGCCAAGTTTGATTACACTATCTTAAAAAATAAAAAAGTTATGACATTTTTAATAAAAATTCTGCTTTGCTCGGTACCGCGAACTCGAATCATTTTCCTATATAATATATAGGTACAATGTTCCAGAAAATCACGACATTTCACAAACTTCAAACCTTCATAACTTTTTTATTTTTCAAGATATTTTCAAAATTTAAAATGTTCTAAGTTAGTCTATTTAAATTCTATCATTAAAACACACTTAAAAGACATAGTAAAAAAGTTGAAATTTTAGCTGGGGTTGCTATATATATACCATGTACATGTACACACTTAGTTTAATTATATCAAATCAGGGTGAATGTACGTGTAAAGGCATGGCAGCATTGTACAGCATATATTCACATCATAGAGAACCATAATTTGGATAAAATTGCAACATGTTTGTGTTGATTCATTACAAAATAACTCACTTATTGGGATCAAGTTAATGGCAACAATGCAAAATGTGCCGGTTTCTCTGGGAAGATTCAAGTACTGTTACACAAACATTACAGACATCAAGCTCTTGCCCATCCTTATGACAAATAAATAAAAACAGTTTCACACCAAATGTTAACTAATCCTGAATATACACACACTCACGTCTCAGAGGCACAACCCACTCCTGGATTGAAGACTTTCTCTCGTCGCGCACACAACAGGTTGTCCTTGAGGGCTCCTTTTCAGCTACCTCACCTGTCACCTCTGGTGTCCCTCAGGGCAGCGTCCTTGGCCCTCTTCTTTTCTTGGCCTACATCAATGATTTACCATCGAAAGGCAAATCCACGGCTCGACTCTTCGCCGATGATTGCCTCCTGTACAGAATCATTAGTAGCCCTGAGGACTCACGCCAACTCCAACATGACCTTGATAGTCTCCAATCCTGGGAGGATGATTGGCAGATGGCTTTTAATCCCGACAAATGTGAAGTCATCCACATCTCCACAAAAAGAAAACCTATTACTTACACCTATAGCATCCACAGAAAAGAACTCAACACTGCAGATCATGCCAAATATCTTGGAGTCACCATCTCTTCAGACCTCTCATGGAAAAAACATATCGAAAACATCACAAAAAAGGCTAACTCCACCATGTCATTCATCAGGCGAAATATACGATCTAGCCCTCCAAGCGCCAAGTCTAATGCCTTCAAGACATATATCAGACCTACTGTTGAATACGCCTCATCTGTCTGGTCCCCTCACTCTTAGGGTCTTATCAACCAACTAGAAATGGTCCAATGTCGCGCTGCAAGATTCGTGAAACAAGACTACACGCGAACAAGCAGCGTCACCGACATGATTACCGACCTCAAATGGGACACCCTCAAACACCGGCGCAACAACACCAGAACAACTATGTTCTTCAAGATAATGCACAACCTTGTGGATATTATACCAGATCCTCCACTTATCAATGCTAAGACTGTCAGAGGGCACAACCAACGCTTCCGCCAAATCAGAGCCCGCACCTCCATCTTCCAAAATAGTTTCTTTCCCGCAACCATCGTGCTTTGGAACAAGCTGCCGCAAGACGTTCGTTGTTGACCAGACCAGCCTGGATGCTTTCAAATCAGCTCTGGCCAGCCAACATATAAAATATTAATCACGGAGTTGTTTTTACTCTTTTAATAGAAACTGTAGATAGGGAAACTTTTTATTTTTATTTTGGAAAACAGTCAGTCCTGCCTATACAGTTTTTATCTGATTGCGAGTATACTCCTTGCGGAGTGATGCAGTTACTTGAGATGATGATGATGATGATAAACATACCCAGTGAATACGGTCTAGTCATTTGTAACAAAAGTATGGCTAGAAAAATACAGCTGTAAGACTGTAAATTATTTGATATTGTACAATGTAAAAACGTAGATCTATAAAACTTCAATTGATCAAAATCTACTATTATTTCTTAAATAATTTTGACACTCGGACCTGAGAAAAATGATAACACCACTTTCATTTGACCTTTTATTTACAAATAGGCCTACTGTTATAATATGTTCAACTATCCGAAAATAGGTTGGTCATTTACTATGACACATATATACATTTCAAAACACATCAAGCTACAGCCAATTAAAATTAACAATTTTACACTATCACAAAGATTATTTAAATATCAAAATACATACAGTCATGATTTCCGGTTTGCACTCTGAAATACTGGATTATGATATTTTTTACGGACAATTACTTTACACCGGAAGCGATCATTCTAAAAATTGCTGACGACTCATTTTGTACATTATCGGTATAATCCTAAATGAATCCATTTACCGAATACTCCCTTAATTTTCTTATGGTGCTTTATATCTGTAATAAAAGTCTCTGATTTTCTGAAAGTCGCCGGAAAAAATGTAGTTGCAGGCTAAAAAGAAACGCAATGTGTATTCTGTCTATTCTGAAAATTTACCAAAAGAACAAGACAAAGTTACCCACATAGTTATTAAGA